GATGACAATTCATTAGTGTACCTAGCTTCAACTATTACTTTATCTTCTACACTGGTATTTGCTGATTTAGTATCCAAATGTGCAGAAATTAAGTATTCTTTATCTTGATGATCATTAACATCAGTTGGAATTGTAATATCGGTCATGATATTCACTGACTGATCAGTATCAAATAATTGCATCGTATCATTTAAAGTATTTTGTATTTGATCAGTTTTATTTAATGATTTTTTAATATTCATACTCTTGCTGTTTGTTGAAAGTTTATTTGTGTTCATTGTTTCATCAAACATACTATCCACACTTGTATTTAAAGAGACTATATTCTTGAAATCATTTGATGTTGAAAATTCTCCAACAGTTTCAAACATATTTTTATGAGAAGTTTGATTGAGATTTTCAGTAGATGATGTGCCATGGCATATTTCAGTAATTGATGAACAATTTAAACCTTCTTTGATTTCCGAATGTTTAGGACTGATTTCATTTAAAATTAAAGGAGAATTAAGAACTTTAGGTAGAACAGGAGTTGCAGTTTCTTCAATTCTATCCATGAATGGAGCAGATGCTACGAGAGCTTTAGGACGAAGTGATTGTTTAGTGACACGTAAATCAAATAATCTCTGTTTTCCAGGTGTAACACTATATTCATCAGCAACAATTGAATCTTCAGTAATATCTCCAAGTTCTGAGTCACTACAAATACTTAAATCTGTATCGTCTTTTTGACTACAATGTATTAAAGTGCATACATTATTAGAATCATCTAACACATTTTGTTGGTTGCTTTGCTCAAGCACACTTGAAACAGATAAGTGTTCACAGGTACTAGTTTCATCAACTAAAAACACAAATCAAAATTAAYCATGAGAAGAATAAAACTCGAAAATTATATATACAATTATTATACATACAGACATAGTTCTCTTGAATTGACTCTATTTCTTGGGCATCTGTAAAGCTAACAGTTTCATCTAAAAAATTTATTAGAACAATTTATTTAGTTGTAACCAATTTGTAATTATAATTTTATTGCATTGAATAAAGAAAGAAATATTGTAATATTATTGATAAATACCTCCAAATGTAGATTTATTTTGATCTTCCGATAAAGAGGAATCATCTATAATCAACAATTAAAACATACATCAAAATTATTTTATGTTTTAAAGTAGTTAACTAATTGAATAATTAAATTAGTTAAATATTGATAATAACAGAATTTKTATTTAATATAATCTAAACATTAAAGTTAAATAAAATATGATTCAATATGATACTTGATTGTCCAATGAAAATTCAACATGAATATTTACAGTTATTCTACTTAATTATTGATATCATATTTAAATTATAATTCATAGAAAACTAGTGAGAAATTTTCAATTTTGAAAATTTGTATTTATTAAATATCCTTTTWAAAAATATTTTATGTTAAGTAGGATATCAATACAGTATAATAATTACTGTTCTTAAGAATTGTATTTATGATGTATGTTACTCATACTTGCAAAATAGTTAATAATCTAACATTACTACATAAGAAACATACCAAATACAAATTTACAATTGTTTGTCATTACCAAAATGCTTTCTTAATAATATGTTGAATTTGTAAACCTTATAGTGGTTATCATTAAAATTCCAATGTATAAACATATTATATAATATTAATTTCTAATAAATAGTAAAAGATTTTATTATTATATAATCACAAATCCAAACAGCATACAAGTGCAAGTTTTACAAATAAATATTGAATCACATAAAACAATTTAGTTTAATATTAATGAACACTAAGAATGCCAATTGATGTCAGAACGCAGTTAACTCATGTGATTTTAATAGATTATTATACAYACRGACATAAAATACTAATACTTGTTTGTTTCCCTTTCAACGGGTTTCATACATAGTTTATAGACCAGCTACCAGAAGACCTTACATCAGAATTATATAYCTTATCAAAAATTGTGATGTTTTCTTTGCATTTCTATGATATTTTATGTTTAAGTTAGTCTAGCATAATTATGATATATTTAAAAAAAAAGTTAAATACTACTAATAATATTTGAATCACGTCAGTATGTTGTCAACTCAACTTTATATTTTAGATATGTAT